GGCATATGTACTTGTGAGGAGTGAGGGAACATAAATGACTACAGACAAAGAGGGGGGACATGATGAAATAAGTTTGAGAATCACCCACCTAGAAAGACCAAGTACTGTGGAAGTGAAGCTCTTCTCTGTGGGCTTTCCATTCCATGCAAGATGCAGCAAAACTTTTTTTAAAAGTTACTAACCTCCTGCAACTGTTGTTCTTCAAGATGTGTTGCTCATATTCCATCTAATGTAGGCATGTGCTACTCCTGAACACTGCTGCTGGAAAGATTTTTCCTTGATAGTAGTTGGCAGATTTTCTCTGATGCCCCGTGGAGCCACCCTTTCACAGTACTGGTATATAGGGCCAGTTGGCCCTTCACTTCCTTCTTGCTGGCTAACTCCAATGGTGGGTATTTTGGAATGGAAATGAGCTTCATTTCCCTAAGTACAGTTACAGGAGGTTAATAACTCTTTTTCTTTAAGGTGAACTCCCAAGCACCTGTGCAGGTGGAGGGATGGGAGGGATGGGAATTCACTGACTGAAGAAATACTCTGCTGACGTTCGCATCGGCTCTAGCTTGCTGGGTGATGGTGCAGAGTGATGCAGTCAAATGGACTGGCTACCACATTTGAAACCTGTGCCACAAACATAGCTGATCATGCCTAAGTTCTTTTTAGAATGGGCTGTCAACTGAGTAGCTGGGATACAGGGCATAATCCATGATGACATTGCTGGGCTGAGACTGGACGGCCTTTCATTCTGTCCATGGTGGCTAGAAACAGTTGTCCTAAAGGGTTTAAGCCCTTCTATGTAAATTATATACACCCAGCTCACTTCCATTGAGTGGAGTCTCTATTCATCCCTGTTAGTATGTGAATTAGGACAGAAGATGGTCAGAAATATACCTCATGTTACTATGAAATTGCGAGAGAATCTTTGCCAGAAAGAACAGATGTGGACACAACTGTACCTTGCCCTTGAAAAAGACTATGATGCAGTGGTAAGAGCTCAGATCTTTCAGACCCTTCTGGCAGAAGTAATAGTGAGTAGGAAGGCCACCTTCTAAATAAGATAGGTAGAGCAGAGAATACATTGCTAGTGGATCGAATGGGGGTTCTGTTAGCCTTGCCAGCGCCAAACTGAGGTCCCAACGAGGTGGTGGCTGGTATACCTGTGGGTATAGCCATGTCAGCTCCTTAAGAAAATGGCCACAGACCAAGTTTGAGAAGACCCATGGGTGAAAGTCTCAATGACAGCTAGATGGACCTTATGGATGACACTAGGCCTTGCAGCTTTAGGTGGAGTAGGTATTTCAGAATAAAGGGCAGTGATGACTTATTGAATGAAACAGCCTTTTGTGCTGACCAAATTGAGAATCTCTTCTACTTTGCTCTATTAAGTGACTATTAGACGACACAGTGCTCCTTTAAAGCACCTAGCAAACAGACCTGTAGGAAGCCAGTACTGCTGAGTTCAGCCATGGAGCTTCCACATTGTAAGGAGAAGAGATTCTAAGTTCAGATAACAGACGGTCATGATCTTGAGAGATCAAGTCTGGATTCAACAGTAGGCTGGTCGGTATGTTCGTTATGAGATCTAGGAGAATGGTGAGCCAGTATTAGTATAGCTTGCTTGGGGCTATCAGGATCAGACAGGTCCTGGCATTTTGACCTTTAACAGGGCCCTGTGTAAAGAGTGATGGAAGGAAACGTGTAAAAGAGCAGATCCATCCAAAGGAGGAGAAAGGTATCTGAGTGAGCCTGGGCTGTGGCTTAACAAGGAGCAGTAGTGAAGACACTCCTTGTTGTATTTCATTTCAAAACAGATTTAAACTGGGGATATCCCACCTCTGGAAAACATCTGGGTGAATGGATCACTCATCATGGTTGGAAAAGGATCTGCTGAGATTATCCGCTAACTCATTCTGCAACTTTAGAAGGTATGGAGCTTCGAATGGATTGAATAGGATATACAGAATTTCCACAGATGAACAGCAGCTTGGCATAAGGGGGAAGAGTGCACTCCGCTCTGTTTATGTAAAGCCTTGCTATTGAGTTTTCTGAGGACCGACACAGTTACTCTACTGATGGGGTTGGAAAGCATGGCAGGCTAGGCACACTGCCCTCAATTTGGTCACACTGATGATCATGGAGAGTGCCTCTAACAACCAGAGGCCTTGAATTCTGAGGGTTCCCAAGTGAGCCCTGCAGCCCACTGCCATTGTGTCTGTGATACAACACATTGTTAGTGGGGATCTCAAGAACAGCATATACCATCCCAGCATCTAGTCAACAAAGGAAGGAGGAAATTACTGACAAGGGAAGTGAGACCATCTTGTCAAGATGGGGGTCAACCTGGTATGTATACTGACATTAACCAAGACTTGAGCATTCCTAGTCACTGTCCTTTGTGTTGAACTACATAGATGCATGACGCCATATGTACCAAGAATAAGGATTTTCTTGTAGCAATGACTGGGTGACCTCTCAGACTCTCTGTGAGCACTCCTATAGCTCTGAACCTGTTTTCTGGGAGAAAGGCTCTGGCCTGGATTGAGTCGACCATAGCCCCAATACATTCTATCCTTTTAAAAAGGGAAAAGGTGGATTTTTGCATGACCTGGAAGGTTGACTTTATGTTTGCCTGCACCTGGTCCTTGGATTCAGGGCCGGCCTTAGGCTGATTCCCCAGCGTGGGGCCCTGCGCCTAGGGAAACGACGCATGCGCCGGGAGCATGGTGCATGCATTGTGCGCCCGGGGGGGCCACACCTGCGTTGTACTCCCGGGGCACTGTGCATGTGTGGGCCCCTGGGCTCACAGCGCATGCATCATGATATCCGGGAAGCACGGCGCATGCATCATACCTCCGGCACGCAATGCTTGTGCCATGCCGCCCGGGGCCCTGCGCATGTGCGGCCCCGCGCTCTGTAGAGCCGCCCTGCTTGGAGTGACCTCTGACAGTCACGTAGGCATGGAAAGACCTGAACTCCTTGTCTCCTCCGAAAGGCTGCAACGACTGTCATGCACTTCACAAATACACGAGGAGCTGCTGACAGGCCAAACAGGAGTAGTGTAAATTGGTAGTATTTTTTTTGTAGTTGACAAACTGTTTATCACCCCTCATCTCCTTTATCCCCAAATAATAACACTGAAGAATTAGAAGATCTAAGTATAATTAATGCCAATCAATATTGTTTCATGAGAAAATATATCAAACAAATATGACACAGTTCTTTTACAAGATAATAAGTATCGTTAAGATATCTCAGCCTGCCAAGGTTTGACACAAGACACTGAACATATGACAAAATGCCAACTGTGGAACAACTGTTATTGTGTTGCACCAAACAGATCTCTCCGTAACACAAACTGCTATTCGCAGACAAGGATATCCTCAGACAGAAATCAGTATTTGCTCAACTGTAAGCCTCTATTCCCAGGAATCGCAGAAGCCAAAGGAAAAGAACATGGCGCCACTGCTCTGACAAGCCAGCACCCCACACTGGCAGCTCTTCTTGGCCATGTGACTTTACCACCCCCCCAAGCTCTTCCACACAGCTACATCTCCTGTCAGGGGTCATACAGCCTCACTGGGGGTGGGGCTGGTATAGCCAATTGGCCAGAGGGAGCTTCTGATGCCGACAGCTAGCTCCTGGGAACCACAGTACCACTTTCTTCTCCTTTGGCCACTGAAATTCTGAGTAGAGCCCTGTGGTTCAGCAAATACTAATTTCTATCCACAAGATAGAAACTGCATCCGTGCAGGACTCAGGCCAGAAGCAATAGTTAACCTATGAAGAAGTTTTATAGCTAAACTACGTTTTCTCACTTTGGGTGTGTCTAGACTACATGCCTCCTTCGACGGAGGCATGTAGATTAGCCAGATCGGAAGTGGGAAATGAAGGCGCGATTAAAATAATCGCGGCTTT